AGTAAGTGTCTGCACATGTAGATGGTGATGCTTATTATTCAGTAATTTGCTCTAATCTCAAGTAAAGCATCTTGTATAGGTACTGTCTGCTAACTGATTGGATCTTGGAATATTATTAAATAATTGTGACATTAGGTAGTAAGTTTTCCCAGCAAAGATCACTTAAGGTGTTAAAAGTAAGGATACAATGTTATTCCACCTAGTGGACAACCAAAGTGCGACTTGAAACTAACTTTGACTAAAGGGTAGGAATAATTTTGTTATCCACTCTTCATGATTTCCCTTTGGGATCCAGGATCAGGACCCAGACAGTAAGACTGTGATAACAAAATCTGCTGAGGACTCCCAGGAGTGGGCCCTGTCATACTAGGGGCATCAGAGCATCATACAAGAAGGAGTGAGAGGATGTCTATATGACATGATCCAGTGCCATGTAGAGACACCAAGATACAGCTCATTATACAAGCTCAGGAACCAGGAGCAGCTCTGGTGCATCAATGCAGATATTCTCCTTCTGGGACCTGAGTTAGTACATGTTCAGAGCCAATATGAGGATCTCTACACAATGCTCCATATACACATTCCCTGAGTGACCTTGAGAACTTGAGCAATGGCAACTGGGTGAAGTATAACAGATTATAGTGAAGACCAGGTTCAGCTCTAAGCTGGGAGTGCACCATTTGAAAGTGGCGGTAAAGAGACCTGGGTATAATAGCTGATCCCAGGGTGCCTAGCCCAAAGAATTACCAATGATGCGCAGCATCTAAGGTGCCCCAACAGTTGCAGCAGCCTTGGGACTGACTTGACTTGACTTGACTCGAGGGTGCCTAACCCACCAATCTGGTGGAGACCCAGAAAGACTGTAGGATGTACCAGTCAAGGCATTTCCTTTGAAGTCCAAAAGAATATCTGTTAGGATGCAGACAAAAGAAGCCTGTTTCATTTCTCTCTCTCTCTCTCTCTCTCTAGGTACCATATCCAAACAGGACACTGGTGACCATGGTCTTCCACAGATCTCTTCTCTTTGAGGCATATAGAAATTCCAGTGTTGATAACAGTCATCCATTTGGATAGACTCGACCTCTGTTTTCTATGATCTCTCCTTTCTTCACTATTTCCAGTTATGAC